TCTCTCAATTTTAAGCAAAATTTGTAATAAGCATAAGGTACTCCTAAATTCAATCGTTTCTGTGATACCGCGAGTTTTAAAAATAAACGCTGTTATTTTAAAATTCATTAAGAATTGAACATAACACAATAATTAATGATTCCAAACGATCATAAGAAACTTCGCACACGGTACTTCAGAACCACGGAATGTTTTCAAAAGAAATTCGTGATGTCATTAACTATTGTTCTTTATTCAATAAATTTTAAAGCAATAGTTTTTATTTTGAAAACTCGACTCGGAAACGATTGCATTTTGAGTACATTCTGCATCTTACAAATTAAGCTCAAAATTAAGAGAAGAATTGAAATATCGAATCATATACAAAGCGTTCCATTAAAAAAATGCATTATTGGTGTGCCGCGCCTTTATGACCAACCCTGAGTAAAATTACTACTTCCTAGTAGACATTAAAGAACCTCAAATCTTTTGTATAAAACTTTTATTGATGCCTTGTATATTTTCACCGATAAATCAACCGTTTCCAGACTTATCAGCGATCCTGTATACACATTGCCCTTACCTACTATAACTTAACATTTGGAAACGTGCCGTTCGCGTTTTATCAGAGACAAATGCCTCGACTAAATTATCAAAATTCAATTTTATGGCCAAATCGGATTTCCAATAAAGACTCCCTACATCTGAACCTTTAAATTTCGTAATGCAGAAAAAAATAGGAAAGTGGTACAAGTATTTGGGGAAAGTCCATTCAAATTTTTATTATTCCTGCATCAGAATGACAGTTTAAAGCACCCCTGAGCGTGCGATTAAAGCATGCCGTAACGCTTTCTGTAAATTAATACCACCTTTAGGCTGTATATCCAACTAGTTTTGAATTCCTTATTTTTTTTATTTGAAGTTCATCTCCAGGCATCTTGTCCGGGTAAGAACGGGATTGTTGTACTGTTACTAACTAAAAATGTTCTGGTTCTGGAAAAACTAAAAGAAATAAAATTATCCTGGAAAACAAAATTATTCAAGTTTGGAAAACTGGAAAATTACACAAATAAATGCGCCTAAAAGTTAGAATAAGTTTAGTTCTAGTGAATTTATACTTGAATGTGCCTGCAATTTCAATTTTGCCCGGGCGCCATAAGTGTAAGGTCACAGTGTGCTGTATGGATTGGGTTGTGGATTTTGTAGGTAGCGGCTTCTCTTCTGCTTCTGCAGCAAACCATTGAATGATCACTAGGTATTTTTGACGTCGTCGTCAATAGTATCACACCTCTCGTAGAAGACTAACTAGTAACATTAAGCCTCTTCAGCCTTCACATCTTCTAAAGCATTTCTTTGAACCCAACGAGGTTTTTTTGGGATGTCTTTACAGATTCGATCTTAGCAGGCCACCTGTAACCTGCACATCGAGTTCGCAATTTACTGTTGGGATTTCAAATTCAAATATTTATTTCAGGAAAACACCTGTATTTTAATATATTGAGTGGCCTACAAGATTTTTTTGGTAAATGGCACGGGTGAAGAGTAAACAAATAGAACGTTGAACTTGTGAATCTTTGGTGTGCAATAGAATTTTGGGGCAACACCATTATAGAGTGTCTGTGAATTTTGTTTGTTAAGAACTTTTTTGATAGTTATCTAGCGGTTTTATTGGTGACTGTACAGCATAGATTTTTTTCTGATACGGTATCTAAACTTTCCAGACAAACAGAGAGAAAAATAGATACAACGGTTAGGCAACGGTAACAGGATTGATTGATTGATTAAGCAATCCGCAAAAGTAGGGGAGTGACAAGGGATGTTTACATTCATATAGGCATCAAAACAATAATCAGATGCTCACCAAAGCTAGTTTAAAGAGCTTTGTATCACTAACAGTCAAAAGATTTCATGGTAAACAAAGCATAAATCGTACAACTCTGCCTTCAAGGGCCAAGTCGCAATGGAACATTTAACGGATTGATGAATCACAAGTTTCTATGCGGAAGGATTATATCGGTAATACAATTTGTTGTCTGGGCGCAGAGTTGGCATGGCAATAAGAAGGGCGGCACGGTTGTCTTCCATTGCCTACTTTTCTAAGTTAGTGTCGAGTGTGACATAGGTACCTTTAGGTATGTACGCAGAAGTAATCCCTAACTGACCAACTACGCAATTTAAATGAATTTCTTTGAAACAAATGACGTAGTTTCGTAATGATTCATGTATGTAAGTTTAAAATTTCATGAAAATTCACAGTGTATACGCATGATAGGCGTCTCATTAAAAGTGCACGAGCCCTACGCTGCTTCCAAGCAAGAAGTTGGTCACACCTGACTGCCGTTATTATAGAGTCCCTGAATAATCCTAATGTATAATTTAGAAGAAATCTCTCAGCTACTGCATATTTGAAAATGAAATGAAATTATTATTTTAAAGCAAGAACCAAAATTTCTGTTTCAATTCTGCAAATGCTTATTTGTGTGTCAGTTGTGGGGATATATCCTGTTTTTAATGAAACAAACCGTTTACATTTATGTAACTTCACCGTTCCACAATGCGTTTTAGATTACAGCGTTATTTGTACATACGGATATTTCAAACGTTTGTAATCAGATACACTTCATAAAACAATAAAGGTGTACGCTGAGTTAGAAGTAAATTTTTATTACATAAATTATTTTATTTTCGGTTTAGACTTTGAAAGCGGAAAATCGTGACTAAAGTTCATGTTACATAAACTAATATAAAGTTGGATATTTACTGTGAATATAAAGCATTATCGAGTCCGAGGTTTTACCACGTAATGGAACTACCTATTTGCAGCAACGGCCGGCGATTTAAAGCGATTACAAACGATTCTAAATAACGCGATTACGCATTTGTGGTGATATTTTTACGCATTTTTGAAAAATACGCTATATTGGTTATGGCTGGCTGTCTGGCTGGCTGGCTTTCCGGCTGCTCAGTAATTACAATAGCTGTAGACTCCAAATTTTCATTAAAAGCGTTCTTCTGCAGTGTAGATGTGCAGGCTCTAGTCTATTTTGAGTTAGATTACTCGTGAAATCGATAATCTTAATCTTTTCTAATAAAATAGTGATCTGTATTGTATCTATTATAACGTGCCGCGCGCGCAGGAGTGAATTAACTTTCAAGAGGGTTAGTGTTATGGCCGTGTATAATACAAAACTTTATTTTATAACAGAAGCCACATAAACAATTGTAAAGCTTGTGACAATCCTGAATTTAATTTAGACATCAAATATAGCAAGCTTAGGTTTTGCCGTCGTGGTCCTTTCCATAGAAACAGAATTTTCGTATGTTCTGAACCTCATTTTATATCGTGTTCCGCGCCCCATTTCAAATAAGAATGACATATCTCCTTCGTAATAAAATAATATTACTGTACAATGAACACGCCCTTCTGCCACGACATACGCCAAGCCTTAAATAAAGTTCCGTTAGGAAAACATTCGCGTTTAAAGTTTCGTTCATACCCACTTCCGATACTCGTTTTCTGGTGCAATTGGAACGGGGGAAGTACCTCGACAAGACCTACGATGTTCCCTTTGTGGGTACTCACTTCCGCCGCTCCGCTAGGAAGTTATTCGCGTTTAAAGTTTTGACCCTTTCAGTGGAACCGCCTCGTTGGTATATCTATTATTTTCCATTTGCGAATTTGCTCCATTATCGAGTTGTGAGAGATCTCACTCTCCGATTGTCCATTTGAACCAGAAGTATTACCGAGAAATGCACCTCGATTTTCTTCTTGTGGGTACCCAGCTGCGACGTTGCGTTACACAGGGCCGGCTCGATGCAAAAGCTACATGTAAGTAAGCACTAAAATTTGCGCCTCTGTCCGCCTCTCTAAAGCCTGAGTAATGGGAACTAAAGCTATGTGGACTTCTGGCGCAGGAAGTGACGTCACACCAATCAGAGACGAGCTCGTGACGTCACAGCCAATCAGAGACGAGCACGCCCCCCTATGCCCCTCCCCCTTGGCCAATGGGATACGGTAGGCGGAGCCTTTAGGGGCCGCCCCCTGTGGCGTCACAGCCAATGAGCGGTGTGGTCGGCCATTTTGGATCGGTCGCCATTTTATTAGTCACCAAATCCGCCATCTTGGATTGGTCGCCATTTTGTTAGTTTCTATTTCCGCCATCTTGGATTGGTCGCCATTTTGTTAGTTTCTATTTCCGCCATCTTGGATTGGTCGCCATTTTGTTAGTTTCTATTTCCGCCATCTTGGATTGGTCGCCATTTTGTTAGTTTCTATTTCCGCCATCTTGGATTGGTCGCCATTTTATTAGTTTCTAATTTCGCCATCTTGGATCGGCCGCCATTTTATTAGTATCTAATCCCGCCATTTTGTTGGGCGCCATTTTTGACCGTCTGTCTGTCTGCCTCTCTCGCTCCATCCGCCATCTTGGATGTTATTTTGGAATCGCGTCATCGGTCACGTGATTGCTATAGACAAAAATTTTTTTTTTTTTTCAATCTGCGTTGGGAATCGAACCCACGATACGTGAATTACGAATCTGCCGCCTTAACCATCTGAGCTAAGCGAGGCTTTGAGATATGAACGTTTAGCAGTTCAAGTATTGTTAGAATGTGGGGGGAGCGCGATTGCAGGGGCGTAGAGGGTAAATCGTATGGGGTAGCAGTAGGAGCGGTAGATGCCCCTAGTAGGCCGTATAAGCTCACAAGCCACACAACGCTACGGAGAGCGTTGAGATGTTTGCGAGTTGTAGAAGGGTATAACGCGGGGGTGCGTCGCCGATAGGGGCTAGGGGCTATTTGGCGGGGAAGCGCGTTAAAATGATAAAATAATACGTACGATGCTCGTGTGCGAAAAATAATTATTCATATTGCTAACTAGAAAGGAAATGAGCTTATCTTCTTTATGCTTTATTTTTATTTTTAGACGCATTATTCTAATATTACATTCTAATATGACATTGGTTTTCGAATATGCTTTGACGAAATACAATCATTACAATAAATCATTAGCGGCGCGGGTCCATCGATGTGAGTGCGCTGCCACGGCTGGTTCCAATGTTTCTTACATCGTATTCGATTACGTAATTCACAGTCTCTTTGCAATACGTTGGGGATCTTGATCCATATTTTCTTTAGTAACAGCGCGCGAAATTTAGTTGTTTGTTATTATAATTAGGATGGGAAGCTGCAATCTCGCAATAGTGTTTATTTATAGCAGCTATGATAAGACGCTTAAATCGTGTGCGAAAAATCTTATCTTCTTTATGCTTTATTTTTATTTTTAGACGCATTATTCTAATATTACATTCTTTGTATTTATGCTTCGGTCAATGTCCTTGAAATAAGGGAACGACCCCTAAGTATGATGAGCCCCCGAACCGCGTATTACGAATTTAGTGCTAAAGCGGTATACCTACAAATTAGCGTATAAAAGCAAACAACATTTACATTAAAATTCATTAGTTACGAGAATAGCAGACATTATGGATGATTTATGGAATGATGATCCAAATATTAACCTTACTTGGGTCGATAATCCCTCCCCGAAGATAGTCGAGGCACATACAGGTAATATGATCATGGTGAAAATAATTATGACCCTACTAATTAAGCCCGTTGTTTCTTGTAGGAGCAGAAGATTTAATATCAACATGGTCCATGTTTCTCGATTGCTCAACTTTGCTAGAAGTGGGAAATTCATTGAGGAATAGTTTCGAGCCAGTGGTGCAGATATTTTGCCCTCCACTCCGAGAAAGTTGTTTGCATTTTAATATTTCCGAATGGAGCGATATTTCCGCTATTAAAACCGAGCACAACATTCGACTCATGCTTAAAAGTACCGACCAGTTGGAACATGAAGTGTTCGTAGGGTACGGTATAAAAATTACGTTGGCTGACTGTGAAAATGGTAGTAGGGGTATAAGAATAAGTCAAGGATTCAATTCCATAGTGCTAACCGAAGAAGCCGTAAATCGTTTCCTCTCCGCTGTACATTTTGTACATCAAAAATTGGATTTTCTAAGCGATTATTCGACGTACTGGTACTATCAGGACTTTGCGGATGAAGTAGCGGATGATCTTTGCAAGGACGGTCTGTTCGATGAACAAAACATTTTGTCAAGAGGAAAATTTTTCTGTCAAAATCTTAAGTTACTAAAAAAGTTGGTTGCACACTCATGTTTAAGAGATTTTTTCATTTTTAGCAGAAATTGTAAATATTCACCCTCAAAGATTTGTAAAAGATGTAACCGAGAAAATGCTGAAGGAGAAACAATAAAATAGTTTGGTGATAAGTTTGTTGTTTATATATAAATAGGGAAAAGAAAAGCACCATTTTCAAAATGTATTATATATTTTCGCAATAGCTACATTAAAATCGCATATGCAAATTAAATTTTACGTACTATATTAGTAAATGGCTCGTATTCAATTAAAACATCATGCAAAATTATACAGTAAGCGGAGGTGTCGGCTGCAAATGCTTCAGATGTTTCAACTTCCAGTTTCAAGTCGATAACCACATTATGAATACTTTCATTGTGACGAGTACAGTTGATTACGAATATTGGTTGTTTCTTAAACTCCTCGTAACTGAGAAGAGAACTACTTTCAGAATCGTAGTATTGCGTCCGAAAGTTTAGATATTCTTCGTAGGCATCTATATACTTGTTGTCCGCGAAGGAGAGATTCTGCTGCTCATACGGGTATCTTCTGTTGTTGATGTTCGCTTTTATATTTTCGACGCCTAAATGATCGAACTGCGATGCATTCTCTCCTTTTTGGTTTCGTTTCTTAGTCTGAAAGGCCACCAGAAGCCATTGAGGTCGTTGAAAACCGGTGCTACTTTTTACCGGCCATACCAAAGAGCGGGTTGATGGCAATGCTGGATACGCATATAAATCTCTAGCGTGAAATGCTACTTGGATCGGAACATTTTTATCAATTCTACTGTATATAGACAGCTTCATGGAATCGTTAGGAATTACGTATGGAACCTTCCAGGTTACTTTACTAAGGCTAATTTTCACCTCCGCTTCGCTTTTATAACAGTCTTCATCGGTTTTTGAGCGAATTAATGTTAGTTCTTGTCGTATGTTGACTAATGGTTTTTTATACCCTTCCGCGAATCCTAGCACATGTTTTAGCGGTATAGATGCACAGAAGGCTGTCTTGTTGGCGTTTAGGAGTTGCAGAGGTTTATTGCGGGGACTCCATCCTGCTTGTGATAAACAATTACTTTGGTCCGTTGTATAGGAACAAAATCCCTTGATTGCGCTGTTTATTCCGGGTAATCTCACGATTTCTATCACTTGATCTCCCAGCGTAAATCTAATTTCATCGAAGAGAAATAGTGGAGCATTGTTGGTCAACTCGAACTGCTTCGCTTCCGATGAAGTATAAGCGTTCCCTCCAAGTAGATCACGCTATCGTAGGTGGCCGTGATAAGATCCGCCTTTTGAATTACAAGATTGATTTCGTCCGAGTTACCATAAGCATTCGTCGAGTAAGGATGGTAGGTTCGCCGATCGCATTCCACAATCATATCCTCATACTTTACGCTACTGAAGAGATTTTTCAGCGCTTCTTCCATATTTTCGGAGTACTTTGTAACCAAGATATTCCAGAAACTTTACGTCGTTTTCAGTTAATGCACCCGACGATGTTTGCTCGTCTGTACGCGAAGCCTGACTGAGTGAAGATCCGCTCTTGTAAAAGATTTTAAGGCCCATATTTTTTCAATTCCAATCTAATAGTCACTTTTTCTTCACCAAAGTCCACTAGTTTACCTTCTTGGTCAAGCAATCGCAAGGTAATGTTATCAATTTGATGGGTAAGTACGGGTAAATATATAATGCTGGTGGGTTCCTTGACCATACGATAGCCTGGTTCAACGTGCACGTCGAATTCAAAAATGGTGTGAGATTTTTCACTATTCCGATACGCTCCTCCGGTTAAATTGCACTCAACATGTATATTTGTGGCGTTGACTATTTGCACATCCAAGTCGGACTCGTGAACCATACCTCCTTTGTAAATAGATGGCGAGAATCCGAGCATGCGCCCAATAGAACCCGTCTTGGTAAAATCAACATTGTGTTTGGTTTCCATTTCGCACTTTAAGGTATTATTGTTGGGTCTTAAGATAAAATCCATCGAGTCGTTTGGTTGGTTAATATATTTCTGCAAATACCTATTGATCTCTTCAATTTCATATGCTCCACTTGGAATTGTAATCTCTTGTTCCTTTGCATCGTTCGATGTATAATAAAATTTATTATTACCTTCGAATATATTTCGTATAGAATTGCATCCGTAAAATCCCACCAATCCCAAGCCATATTGGAAACTCGAGTCAAGCTCTATTGGTGGGAAATACGTAGTACTGAGCACGTTTCCTACACCCGTTAGCGTGAACGTTCGAGACATGATTGATAGGTAGAAATGAAAACTAGCGTTTTAGATGTAAATTATTTATTATACAGAAAGTTTAAACACAAGTGTCCACATATAAATGTGTTATAGTTTTGCTCTCTATCATAATTATAAACAATCTTACAACCTTTTAAGTATTTAACTATTTCATTTGGAGGGCCTAAGTCTCCAAAACTATCATAGTAAACCGCTTTCCTGCCGCGTTTCTTGAAAGCAACCCAATGAGTACCTCTTCCCTGGCTATCATCCAGGTTCACAATAGCGCATTCGTTAAAATGGGGCTTTTGAGGTAATGTGTTGCGCATGAATACTCCTATAAAGAACGGTACATTTTTAGCGTATTTATGCAGATCGAAATTGGTTAATGCTTTCCGCGGCAAGTTTAGTCGTTTTTTGGAAAAGGTTTCAAATATAAGGCGTAACCCTTCTTATATGGCTTAAGGTAGAGTGCTCCACCGCTTTTATTGCCCAACGCTACAGCCTCCATTGTGGCATTATGACGTTGACTCTCTTCCAATTGCTTCTTAGCTGCAGATGCTTCGTTAACCGCTTTAGCTATCCCACTTGCTCCACCGGCTAGTGCACCGGCAGCCGAAAGGCCCGCAAATAACGGTATAAGGAAAGGAAGAAAGCCGCCAATTTTAGGTATAGGAATAACTCTCGGCACTCGCACCTTCTTTTTACCGCCCGCTACTTTAACCGCTTTCTTTGCCGCGGCCAAACTCACATCGACAAGTTTCTTTATGCTTGCATCTTTCATCCGCCTTATTGAATTTCGAGCATGCGATAGAACTCCTCCTCTAAACGAGCAACTCTTATGCTTCATTTTTCTTTCTTTCTTCTTGCGTTGCGCAACTCCCATTCCTAGCTTCCTTTTAACTTTCATCGCGGCGGCTACGGCTAAAGCGGCAGTTTTTTCTCCAAAACTCGAATCTTTCGATTTTACGCGACTCCAAGCTTGGTTTTGAAGGTCCTTGTCAGCTTTATGGCGATGCTCTAAGTCTTTGAATTGACCGTACGCGATATCGTGTTGTTTACATGCAGCATCCAACGGATTTATTCCAGAATCACCGCGAGCTAAACGCTGTTCCAACTTTGTTCCAGGGCCGCAGTACTGATATCCGGGAATATGAAGTTCTACTGGTAATTTGTTTATTAAAGTGTTAATCAACCCCTTTCTTACTCGGTGATTAGCCATGAACTGTTAGTATAACTAGAACCAGCGACTAATAATGATGTTTATAAAGCAGCCTCAACATTTAAACGTAGATAATCACGATTTTCTAAAATCAGAAGTAGTGGGGAGGCATGGGCCTTTATTTCCAGCATCAATTAGAGCAGTGATCTGCGGTCCTTCGGGGTGCGGAAAGACAAATGTCATGATTAGTTTATTGGAAGCACCGCACGGCCTTTCGTTTGAAAACGTGTATGTATACTCAAAGTCGCTAGAGCAGCCAAAGTACAAGTACCTGGAGCAAATACTTACACCTATCAAGGGTATTGAGTACAATGCTTTTAGCGATAAGGCTGACGTAATCACTCTCCAAGAGATTAATAAGAATTCGATAATGATCTTTGATGACGTGGCCTGTCTAAATCAAGACGTAATTAGAGATTACTTCTGCAGAGGACGACATTCCGGGGTGGACTCATTCTATCTTTGTCAAACATATTCAAAGATACCGAAACAATTAATACGCGATAATGTTAACGTTATTGTTCTATTCAAACAAGACTATTTAAATTTAAAACATGTGTATGACGAGCACGTTGGTACAGATATGACCTTTGATCAGTTTAAATTAATGTGTTCAAAGTGTTGGGTGGATAAGTATAATTTTATCTGTATAGTGAAAGACTTTGACTACGGTAGATATCGAAAAGGGTTCGACTGCTATATTAGATTATAATCTGATTTAATAGAACCGGTCCAACAGCTATCCAACGGCTTTGCCCATCAGGTCCACCAGCTTTTCTAACTGGTCCATCAGCTTTGCCAACTGGTCCATCAGCTTTGCCAACTGGTCCATTAGCTTTGTCAACTGGTCTATCAGCTTTGCCAACTGGTCCATCTGCTTTGCCAACTGGTCCAACAGCTATCAATTGGCTTTGCTATCCGGTCCAACAGCTATTTGAACCGGTACCAGTTTGAAAATCTGTTAGTCGATTCTGTGTAGGCCATAAAAATGAACGCAAGAGATAAAACGATAAAGCAGAAATTGACGAAGACCCGCAATGCTATCAAGCGTAAGCTTGAAGTGCTAAAAAGAGGCGAGCTTGAAACTCAACGCTTGGTTGAAACAACATATAAGCCAATAGTAGAACCACTTAAAAAGATAGCTAAGCAAGAACCCAAGATACCTAAATTGATACCGAAAGTTGAACATAAAATCGAATATGAATCTACCCCAATTCAAGAAGAAGAACAGTTCCGAACACCACAGCGCTCTGAAAATGGACCGATCACAGCAGCTGCTAAACGACTTAATTTTATCGAAACTGATGAGATTAGTAACATAGCGTATGATAACGGGAAAGAAGGTGAAGATGAGGACACTACTGAAACGATTAACTTATCACAATTACTCGACACTGAAGACGCCGCTCAACAATTTCTAAATCAGTATCATGTTTTGCCGCGCCAATATATCGAACGAATGATTAAAGATACCAAAGGCGACATTGATCACTTTTATGGTCTTCGATATGATGCCAATTTCGATCAGTGGGCTATTGGAGACTCTAAAGTGACATTTGACGGACCGAATTTAATAATAAAGGATAAAATTTACAACGGTACTCCAGGGTTGTATGAATTGCTTGTACTGAAAAAGCCTCAAGAATTTTCTTCCAAGGATGGACGAGTGTATAAGGAAATTTTAGATGTCACTAATGGCTACCGAAGGAATTACGATCCAGGTCATCAGATTGTGGGTACCAAGTCGCATAAATATCGCAATATCCTTAAACCACTACTATCGGAGCACTATGGAACGGGTATGAAAGAGGTAAACAATACAGTTAAAGAGTACGTGTAATGGAATACGCCCCACGAATTAGTCGAACGTCTTAGATTGCTGCATGCATCGAGAGTAGCCGGTCACACCGGTCACAACAATGAAATCTCAAGTATTGAGGAGGAGCTCAGAGAAGAAGGCATAATAGTTTAGTGTAACAATGAGCGTTGACAAGTTTGGACGTCATTCATCATCAAGAAATAGGATTCGCAGTGATCAGGAGACAACAGGTGAATGTGCAAAAGTTAATTTGAAATTAACCGGTGATGGGGACTATAATATGCAAAATAAGAGGATTCGTAACGTTATCGACCCGTATTGGGGTAGCGATGTTGCCACCAAACAATATGTGGATAGGTGTATTAGCGAGCTGCATGCTAAGTACACAATGAATCGGTATAACATGGAGAGTAATCGTTTAAGACACGTAGCAGATCCGGTGGAACATGATGAAGCAGTAACCAGCGGTTTTCTCGCAGTGCGTCTAAATACAATTATGTCAATCTTAGACGGACATAAAAATTATTTGGAGGAGTTAGAAAAGGAAATAAACAAACACCATAGAACTAGGCTAGGTTTCGATTAGCCTCCGAGTTAAGTGTAAGATGTCAAAGCTTGAGGTTGTCGAAGAGCTACATAAGCCCGCTCGCAAAAATTTTCCTCGAAAACGAACCATTATTAAACATCGCGATGATTTATGGCAAGCGGATTTAGCCGAATTCATACAGTACTCTAAAGAGAACCGGGGAAATAAATACATGCTGACGGTAATAGACTGCTATTCGAAGTATCTTTGGACACGACCTTTAAAATCAAAGAATGCCGGTGAAGTGTGTAAGGCTATGACATCTATTTTGAAAGAAGGAAGAGTGCCAGTCAATTTACAAACTGATCAAGGAAAGGAATTCTATAATAAGGAGTTTGCAAAGTTAACGGAAACGCATGCGATAAATCATTACTCTACGTATAGTGTGAAAAAGGCCGCTGTAGTTGAGAGGACGATAAGAACGCTGAAAAACGCCTTATACAAGGCATTTAGTCTTCAAGGAAAATATAAGTGGATCGATGTGCTACCGGAAATAACCTCGAAATATAACAATACAAGGCATTCCACGATTAAAATGAAACCCAAGGATGTAACCTCTAAAACATATTTACCAATGTTCCACAACATAAAATTTATGGGGCCCGCGAAATTTAAAATTGGTGACTACGTTCGGATCTCGAAGTATAAATCCGTATTTTCAAAAGGCTATACTCCGAACTTTTCCACAGAATTATTTAAAATTACAAAAGTGAAGGTTGGCAATCCCGCTACATATCTATTAGAGGATTTACTATCCAAACCGATAATGGGTCAATTCTACGCAGAAGAATTACAGAAAACCGCTCATCGGGATATCTTTCTCATTGAGAAAGTTTTGAGGCGCAAAGGAGACCAGCTCTACGTTCGATGGCTTGGGATGGACAAATCGCATGACTCTTGGATTAAAAAATCAGATTTTGTATAACTGCTATTTATATATTTTCATATACATGTTTCTTTTACAATAAATAAACAAAATATAATATTATATAATCAACTATAAATATGAACATCCATTCGATATATTTTCTTATCCTAAATCCATTTCAGCGGGAATACTATAATGTCCCCAAGGCAACGTATCAATACCATTTGAGGTTAAATACCTCTTATCGTCCTTATTACTTAAGGCAACTTTCTTTTGCTCCATACTATATACATGGTGATTCTTTGATACGATGCTGCTTTGGGCGACACTTTTAGTAATCCCGCTCCTTAAACATTCTAAATAATCATCAAAAGTTAATCTATTTTTTACAATATAATCTCTAACGCCTTTTAATTTCATTACATCCTTATCACTATCCTTAATTTTAAAACTATACATTTTAGAAGCCAAAGCCACCCAATCGGTTATGATTCTACCGCCCAATTCATCCTTCATCATTCCTAAAACTTTACCATTACATCTTGGAATGTTATAGATGTTATTTTCAGAATAATCAGACGTATCGAATCGAGAAATATTTGCGCGTATCAAATCGTATGCATCATCACATAACATCTCATACACTAAACTATCGGTATCCATGTACAACAATTTTAAGCGGTCGTCGCTAAATTGATGCTGCATAAAGTTATAATGAAAATCGTACATTCTAGTTTTAGAAATCTCCAAAATTGCCATCCCAACATATAGCGGCTTATTAAACAAAATTTCGGTTTTTGATAACTCGATAGCTAGTAATTCATCATCGAAGATTTCCCTGCTATGAAAATTGGGCTGAGATATGTAGTAATTGGCTCCGTACCTTCCGCTCCACCGAGTAACGAGTTTAATAATGCGATGGTTCCGCACATTCTCCATCGTTTTTCCAAAATTAGCGTTATTTAATAATTTATAGAGATTCTTTTCGAAGGGGTTAGCGGCTTGTGCTCGCAACCGTGCATTCAAGTCTATATACGGTTTTAACCAACAAGACTGGTTGAAAGTTATCGCGCGATGAACTTTTTCAAGCACAAGACCTGCTTGAAGACATTGTTTTAAATTTCGGTAGTGAATTACGTATCTAGTCTTTGGATGCAAAGTTGCGAGCAACTTCTTATTTTTACTACCCGGCGGAGTGCCATGTTCAACGCAAAACGGAATTGATTTATGCCGATCGTGCAAATGCTGAGGATATGATAAATCCACTTCTAAAATAAGACCTTCATCCGCATTATCGGATATATTCAATATCGCTTCAGGAGTTAATGACTTTAATTTAGACTCGCTAAGCCACTTAAAGTTGTTTAGAGGTAAACATTGGCTTTGAGCCCAACCATATAAATTAACCATATCCATATACATGATATGAGTAGAGGGTTTACTAGGATCAAAATTCTTTTCATCCAAATATTTATGGTTAGCCTTGCTGTATTTTGTACAACATTGCGTTATGCCTCCTCTTATACCTTTTTCAACAAACAACATCATATCAACATCTGTGAGCAGCTCGAGTTTAACTTTGGTGTAATTCAGCATGCATTGCCATGTGTATCCGGGCGCTGTGAAAAAGAATGCTGGATCGAGTTTATGCGTTGTTATGCATTTTTCTCTAAAGTTGGTGAATACATCAGCAAGTAGAAGCACATCGCTCATTAGATAAAGATCGCTATATTGACCTAAATTTTGAATATCAAATTTACGCCAAACGTTTCGAGCATGCGAATATTCTTGATCTGAAATATGAGATTGCTTCAGCTTGCTGTAAAATTTTGTCTTTTCCGGTAAATCTTTTTCCATAAATTTATCCCAACTACACATATATTCATACGGATATACACCCTTTTTAGTTAAAAGTTTCAGCTGTTCGTCATTTAAATGGCTTAACGTGCTGCGCAAAATTTTGAAATCGTCAAACTTTAAATAGGACGCTAGATTATCTAATGATTCGCTCATGAAACGATATGAATCTACGAATCTGAATTCGACATCCGCATTTTCCATTTTCTTAGTAAACGAAATGTATCTTTCTTTATTCTTAGGTAACAGCTTGACTTTACCCGGAATAGCTTGCGCAATATCCTTTATAATGAAGTGACTGTCGTATCCACTAAAATTATGGAAAAATACGGGTATCATATGGGGCACTTTATAACGTAGATTACACGACTGGTGAGTGCTGCCGCGAAAACGCCCCGTAAAGTGACAATGATCGCGTACTTTAACGTGGGTCTCTAAAAAGGGCTCTTCGCAGATGTGACAATGAGTGGATGCATTATATCCTAACATTTGCAGATCACTTAACTGTTCCATTTGTACTGGATTGATAAAATATTGTTGTAAATTGTTTGAAATTTCCTCCAGTTCACTGGTAAACCAATTAATACATTGCTCGCCCCTTTGCAGTCGGAACCTCGACAATGAATTGTCAAAGGTGCAATGTAGATAATATGCAATGCTACATACGTCATGCTGCTTATATTTCACGGTGTTTTGCGTCTCATCATCCTGAAAATCTTTCACCAAACATTCTAAATCACAATAAACGATGAAAGGGGAGGTTTGTTTGAATTCGTGATTCTTGAAATATACACGTGAACCGGGCTTTGGCATGTTTATCTTACACTTATTAACTAACTTACAATCTAACTCATGAACCCTAAGTTTATCTATTGAATTAAAATAGTGGAGACACCTATCGCAAATATGCAATTTTCTACAATTTTTCGTCAACTGTGAACGTACCAATCTCAACAAATCTTTGATCCAGCAAAAATGAAATCGAACTGATTCGTCGACCTCATCATTATTGAGAACGGTATCATTACTTTCAATATCCTTTTCGATTTCATAGTTCTGCTGGATCATAAGTACATTTACGTGATTAGCTTTCTTTTCATCGGTTAAATAAATGGGAACGGTGGCATAATCGGATTTTGTTTTCCTAATAAGGCCGTAAATATTAATGGATAAATTTGGATTTTGTTTTAAAAATTTTGGTAACTGATCTAAAGACATGGGGAAACTAATACCATCAAAATTTAAAATTTGCGCATAATATGGATATGATGATACGCGATCGCTATCTCGAGCAGGGGGGAAAAGGGCTGATGACAACGCCCACCCAAAACACGCCTCATCATTATTTTTAACATTGATGACCGCTTTTTTAGCTTTAATTTCTTTCGGTAATTCTATAAACGATGACGCATGCAACAATGTCACGCTGTTTACGTTCACAGTTAACGAAATTATCTTGGATAGTGCCCAACCACTATCTTGCTCCTCGAATTGCATTAATCGATCCATCAGATAGTCTACTACGTTACTATTAAATAATTGTTTTAAGCTAGCCTCATTTAAATCCCCGGATAAGATATTAAAATTCTTTGTTAAAAAACTAAATTCCCTACATGCTAATACTTCATTATTTTTATTTATCGCGGGTTTTACAAATTCCGCGCAAAACTCAAAATTTGTTTTTAGCGGACTATTATATCTAGGAAATATACCTCTAATCTTACTAATAAATAACTTACAACTATCATGAAAAAATGGCCCTAAAGTCTTATGTCCTAGGTTAACAAGAATCCCGGTACTCACACGTGTCTTGAATGCGGTCGCTAGATCCCTCCATTCCACCAAGGGTCTTCTAGCCAAGGAGGAGCCGGCTATAGATTTCCCCAGTTGACCAATAAGCACCTTGTAACGTTCCATTTTTCCAGCCATAGCTGCAAGGTGCCGTTTATCTCCAACCGATATCGAACCCGCTAGCGAGGATTTAATTTGCCTAAGATTGGCATCGATTATGTTGGTGATTTTCGGGATCTTGCTGACATCGCCGAGATTATAGTTTTTGTAGAAATGTTCAATAACTTCAAGCGTGCTATTTACATTATCGATGGTATTAGCCATTTTTCCTAAATCGATATAATTAAAATATGCAAATAATCTGAAAACACTTGCCTGATATTTGAGGCTTGAAACTGGAGAAGATACAAAGCGCACTGAAGCTTGTTATAGAAACCAATCAAGTTATAATTTGCTCACACATACCTTTAGATGCTTTTATATAGGAGTTGAAATTACGGAGGGGGTATAATCCTTATCGCCAAGAACCTTGATGACCATAAGAAAAAACAAATAACGAAACCAGAAAATTACAAAAGCAGGCTTAATACATTTATTCGTATTATTGTTACAAATACCAATTTAATTGCCTATTGTTATTAATTCTACTTTCGGCGTATCGTTCTTGAGAAAACCATTTAACACGACGCCCATCCTCAAATTGTTCAATTGATCGATCACGTTTTCTTCCATTTCTTTAACCATCCGCTGCGGTAGGAAAATTGAAGCATTACCCGCTATTTCGCACACTATCCCTCGTCCATATTGGGTTGATATTGCTTTGATTTTTTCTATTTCGTATATTTTTCCCACTTCCATGTCTCGAACTTTAATAACGGTTCTTTCAACGGCATTTCCAATCGCGTTAATTCGTTGCAAGGATTTATTTAGATCCATTATTGTTACTCGAATACAATTTTGATACTATCTATAATAATATAAGTGAGATTCTTATATACTCGCGCGGTATCCTTTGAAAACTAATCACCAGGAAATGAAAACCATGATCAAATACACCGCAATCAGCATCATTAAACATATACTCGCGCGGCATCCTTTGAAAACTAATCACCAGGAAATGAAAACCATGAACAAATACACCGCAATCAGCATCATTAAACGAAAAAAAACAAAAAAAACGTTAAAGGCGGAAATTATTATCAAAAGAGATCGTAATGAAAACCGCGGCAGGAAACCATAAACCCACCATTATTCCAGCACCATGATGAAAAATACCGCAATCAGCATCATTAAACGAAAAAACGTTAAAGGCGAATGATTGTAGCAGTTCCTTTGACGAGGTGATTGGTACCTATCTTGCGATTCTTGTTGTATTTGTGCACTCATCTCGATATAAATCGATTTCTTACTTTCTTATTGCTTTTATACCTTCTCTTAAAACTACTTTGGAGGGGATTAAAAGAAATCCATCATGCGCAGTGAATCTTAAAGGTATAGGTATAAAACTGAGAACGAGGTATGCTAAAAATTATTGCGTTAAATCCTCATATCGAACGCTAATGGATCGAATACTTGCCAACATCGCTCAGCGAGAGGCTCAAAAGGAGTCTAATTATATCGAGACGAAGAGCGAATTGTTAAGTTTAAGTGTAGAGGAATTATTGAAAATATGGATCAAGATCCCCAAGGTGTTGCAAAGAGACTGTGAATTACGTAATCGAATACGATGTACAAAACATTGGAACCAGCCGTGGCAGCGCACTCACATCGATGGACCCGCTCCGCTAATGATTTATTGTAATGATTGTATTTCGTCAAAGCATATTCGAAAACCAATGTCATATTAGAATGTAATATTAGAATAATGCGTCTAAAAATAAAGCATAAAGAAGATAAGATTTTTCGCACACGATTTAAGCGTCTTATCATAGCTGCTATAAATAAACACTATTGCGAGATTGCAGCTTCCCATCCTAATTATAATAACAAACAACTAAATTTCGCGCGCTGTTACTAAAGAAAATATGGATCAAGATCCCCAACGTATTGCAAAGAGACTGTGAATTGCGTCTAAAAATAAAAATAAAGCATAAAGAAGATAAGCTCATTTCCTTTCTAGTTAGCAATATGAATAATTATTTTTCGCACACGAGCGTCGTACGTATTATTTTATCATTTTAACGCGCTTCCCCGCCAAATAGCCCCTAGCCCCTAGCCCCTAGCCCCTATCGGCGACACACCCCCGCGTTATACCCTTCTACAACTCGCAAACATCTCAACGCTCTCCGTAGCGTTGTGTGGCTTGTGAGCTTATACGGCCTACTAGGGGCATCTACCGCTCCTACTGCTACCCCATACGATTTACCCTCTACGTCCCTGCAATCGCGCTCCCCCCACATTCTAACAATACTTGAACTGCTAAACGTTCATATCTCAAAGCCTCGCTTAGCTCAGATGGTTAAGGCGGCAGATTCGTAATTCACGTATCGTGGGTTCGATTCCCAACGCAGATTGAAAAAAAAAATTTTTGTCTATAGCAATCACGTGACCGATGAGGCGGGTCCAAAATAACATCCAAGATGCATAGGGGGGCGTGCTCGTCTCTGATTGGCTGTGACGTCACGAGCTCGTCTCTGATTGGTGTGACGTCACTTCCTGCGCCAGAACATACATAGGTATTGGTGTGACGTCACTTCCTGCGCCAGAACATACATTGGTCATCTACTTCCATGGCATCGCAGATTATTGAAAAAGATGCGGGTTTTATTTTTCCAATTTTCCGTCTTTATATTGTAATGGAACCGAATTAGCCCACTAAAATTCTATTTAAATATTCCCGAATCCGAGCCTGGCGCGACGAAAAAGGTCAAGACTGCGCTTTGTTTCGTTTTCGTGTATTTTATCTTCTCTGCTCTACATTGAAATGGGCCATAATTTACAATAAAAGTGTCAAATATTACGCTATGCGAGAAAACTTAATGATCCGTATCGACCCGTCTCGAGGCACGTTCGATATTAACATTTGTTTTCGTCTAGGATTTGCCTACAAAGGGGAATTTTAGGCAGAAGTATGTGTGCTTTTGTTGAGACCAGAAGTAAATCTTTACGTTGCGAATAGTGAGTGCAGCTTTGACAATTATAAAGGTGATGTACTCGTTTTATTTATCTCTACGTCTATTGCATCCCCCTAATAACGATATGATCGTGTCCAATTATTTGCCAATTTAACTTTATTCTCGTACAGCATTGATTATTGCCATTACATTCCAGATACAAATTGCAGTTTTAATTATACTGGGCCTACTGGGTAATTACTGACCGATTTACGTATTTTTGTTTATATTTAGATGCTGTATGTTCCCTTAGGGGCTATATCCAATACAAGTATGCAGAACTACATTTTAATTTATAATTGGATTTATTGCAGCACATTTCGCTTTTGTTTACCTGATTATGTTACTGTGTATTTACAGGGTGCCTCATCTGGGGGCGAGTGACGTATGTTAGGTGGTTGATTGTTACATATTGCACTTGGCATTGTGAATTAATTACTTGATACCAATGTTTACCACGACATGTTCCTTTGTATTGTTGTAATGTGATAGTACATAAAATTATGCTCCTACTATTTATTTGAACCGGGTGATTATGATTATTAATATTTGGCAGGGTGACTTGTTTCGAATATGTACTGTGCTATATTTGATACCGATATATAATCTCGATTTGACGTAGCAGAGGCTGGCTAAAGTTCAGAACTGACATACGCAGAGATATATATTTTATGTACTGTTTTTTTTGTTGTGTCTCTTTGAAAAGAGCCATCTTGCCGATATTGCTAATCAATTCGTTTAGTCGATCCCTGTCATGTAGTGACCGAATATTGGTTTTGTGTCAGTTTTTGTTATGCCAGTGCAAATATGTTAACTGTCAACGCCTACATGAATTGTGTATATTTTGTTTATAATTATGTATGGGTGCGAGTTTGCCGTTGGTTACTCTGTTATTTATATTATGTCATGACTTGTCTTTTGATCGGTTATTGTCAGTACTCATGGTAGAGAGCCTGGAGTTCGGTAATTTATAACCCGGCATTTTAAGACTAGTGGGTTGGACTGGCCCTAGAGATGTATGAATGAAAGGTTGGGGTCCCGCTAGTCGTACATGGGGCTGCCGGCTAAGCCCGGCCTCACTTGCGCAGGGATTCGCTAAAAGCGTGTGGCGTGTTCTCGTTGTGACCTTATGGTTGTGTTAAACAACTATATCTTTCCTATGGATTTGGACTGGCCATCCAATATCCAAACCTATTACCTATATGAATATATTGTAATGTTTTAATAATTGTTTTTGTTATGTGTGTGTAATATTTATTCTTTAGGAATTCCAGTGGAGCCTGGGATTCGACATTGTATTGCTGTACTTGACAACATCCCACATAACACAAGATAGCTTATGGATATCCATATTATGTGGAAAATATCCATATGATATCCAATCCATTTATTATCTATTTATTATTATTTATTATCTAGTGGATATCACATAGATATTTATGAAAGTCGATATCTATGGACATAGGTCTAAGAAATCTTTAATACGATGAGCAAATCATTATAAATTAAGATTTTCGGATACCTAATGTTAGTAAATGAGAGTTTTTTTCAGTTATATGTAAAATGGCGGAATCGCTAGAAGATAACATTGTGGATATTCTTTGGATATCTGATGGTATTTCAATGTTCTTTATAAAAACGTTGGCAACAGTGCTATGTGTTTTAAAGTAATGTTGGTGACCCTGAAAACCTGACAACTGACATCAAATTTTCATAATCTGAGGATTGTACTTAATTTTGGTAATAATCTTATGTAAACCGGCGGCGTTTGTTCTTTTTGTGTCTTTGGTGCCGGAAAATTATAAGGTGAGTAAAGATTTTGTTAATTTTTCCTTGGGAGGACAGTTTTGTAAATGTTTGCATGTTATTTCCTACTTGCTACTAATTAATTACAGCTTCATATGAGAAAGCTAGGGAAAAACTCATATTAGCTGAAGTTACATCTGATTTAAAGACAGATGGTGAACGTGATTCTAAGCAATACCGAAAAGTATCAAAGAAAAAACGTTTGTCGACCTCAAATGAAGAAGGTAGCGAGAGTGACAGACAGTCGTATCCCTCACCATCAAAAAAAAAAGTTGATTAAAGGTAAATTACGTTATGTAAATGTGTGACAATAAATATAGTTTAAATATTGTTTAAAGATTACGCACACAAAGATGTTCAGAAGTTACTCCTGCAAAAAAAATATCTCAGATTGGTATGTGTTTTCTGAATTCTGTGACAATAACTTGATTAATTATTTATCTTTTTAGAAGCACATCGTTCACAAACTGAATCAGTACCTGTTCCATATGAAGGTATGTTTGTTGTTTTGTAATGAAGTCTGCCTTTCGACTCTTATTAGTGACATTTAATTATTTATCCATTAAGGCGAGCATTAAGCATACATTTTCAATAGAAAAAGTTATCTTTAGTTATACTTACCTTATGAAAAGTTGTGAAAACCAGACCTTGTTTCACTAAATACCATGGTTTTTTGTAATTTATTGTTATGGTTATAGAAGCAAGTGGTTCACAAATTGTTTCACCATCACCTCATTTATATCAAGGTATGTTTATTCTAATAATAGCATCTACTTCTTTTAATTGTTGTGGTTTTAGAAGCAAGTTATTCACAATCGGTACCATCGCTTTCATATGAAGGTATGTTTGGTATTTTCTATTTATTGTAGTACTTGTGACTCATTTATGTATCTACAGATTTTCAAAAACGAATATTCAAAGAAATACAGTCCATAAAAGTTGGATTTACCAAATTAGCACAAACTATTGAACTATTGTGTTTTAACTTTTTTGCAAGCCTGCTCTCAATTCAGTTCTAAATCATTTATTTTACAGAATTCATCAAGAAAATATGGAGGAAGAAGAGGAAGGTGCCGAAAATAGATGATTTTTGTGTCCATTGTTGATATATAATAAATCACAAAAAGGATTTCTTATAGTTTTATTACGTAGCTACATATCTACCCTTCATTGTTTTACTTGCCTTTAGATGTCTAATGGATATTATTTTGATATCAATTTTATTAATATCACTGCAATTTCATGTCTAATGGATATTATATATCATATCTATGGGATATCCATATAAGATATGGATATTATGCGGACATCTGGATATCCATTACATATCCATACAATTTCTACAGCTATCCATTAGATATTGTGGATATCCAGAAATGCTATCCATTATATATCTAGTGGATGGTTTTGTGTTATGTGGGATGCATTCATGCCATTACAGATAACTAATTTTGCTACAAAGTTCAATATTAATTTGTTGGCTGGGTTTTTTCTTGGCCAGTTCTTTTTTCCTAGCCTATTTTTTAACGCATTTCCACAAAAATAAAAATAAAATGCGCTATTGTGGCCACTTTGTCCGTCCGTCCGCTAACTTTGCGACGCTACTAGTTCTTTATCTTAAGAGCTATTGTTCTACTTTTTTCGCTATTTGGTTCGTTATGGTGTCGAGTCTTGTACCAAGGAAGGAATTTTTTCTGTACCGCTTACAAAAAAAGTTATTGTAAAAAAAACAAAAAACCGTTTTTTACATGTTCCATAATTTTACACTTTTGCCGTTTATTAACGATCCTAGAGATCGTTTATAATTTTGCATTGCTATCTGTCGCCTGCCGGTTGGTCTCTCCGTCTGTTCCTTTGTCTGTCTGTCCATCTATCTGTCCGTGTGAACGATAACTTTGTTTAGAAATGTTCGATCGCTTTTACATTTCCGTTAGTTATGAACTGAATTGCATGAAATTCAATATGGGCATAGATTTAGCCATAATCGAGATTTATACCTACATCTCAAGAGCTTTAATAGATTAGATAAATTTTAAAATAGTTAGAGATTATCTGTTCATCTTATAATTATAGCGAAGACCAACACTGGTTGGCCCGTATTCTACTAATTGATTACCGTATGATTTCTTTTTTCCCCAAATCGTCATGAAACCTTAATTTGCATGCCTACTTTATGTCAGACAATTTTAGTTTCCATGACAGTGGGCGGTAACACTTTAGTCTTTAAGCTGGTATTATAGAATGTTGTCAGCTAACGCCGGTGTTGTTAAAAGGCATGTGAATTTGCCATTTTCGAATCGCATCTAGAACCTTTTCAACTCTTAAGACGATTTATTTCAAAATTTCAACCAAATCGGTTGGGTAGTTTCTTTCTGAACCTTGTTTACAAGAATCATGCCGCACGCTCATACACCCAACCCATCCATACCCACAGACATTTTTTAAAAACCACATTTTTGGAATCCTGGGACCTTTGGAACGTAAAGATGCGGTGAAAGCTCAAAATCGAAACTTGTATTGATTTCCACAATCTTCTAATTTTTGAAAAGCTGAAGGAGTTACTGAAGGACTCGGGCCATTCGTTTCTCAAGTTTCTGTTTCAGAATTTAAAAAATGCTTTACAAATAGGATTGCGCGAGCAGTGACAGTAAAGGCGTGTAGGTACATTTTCATCCTTATATTCCATTTACAATTAAAATTCAAAATGCAAAACATAAAAAAATTGCATACATACATAGGTACATACGGCGACTGGTAAACTTGTTTACCTACTATCTCTCTTATCTATTGCCAAGAAAAAAGCCATCTCCATTTTAGATACTTATTGCGAATTTGAATCTATAATCTCCCTATTCATATCTCAAGTGATTTATTGTCGTTTTCTATCACATCGTCGTAAACAACTTTATGTAACAAACAATGAAAACTCTGACTAAATCCACGCAAAGCACTATGTATATTACAAGTAACCGATTTAGTTCTGGTGAAAACCATGGTAATTCGAGATTTGTCTAAAGCATTTGCGCGATTAATCATCTGCAGCTTTTAAGACCAATCTTTGTTCATTGCGACATGATTGGCAGATTGTTACCACTAGCACTCATGGTGTACCATATGGATCCATCTTAGGACCTCTCTTACATAGGTATATTCTACTAAAATTATGACAGTAAGGATTCAATTTAATGTACCTCTAGCTTTTTATTTAATTCGATTTTTTTTCAAACTTATTACAGCCGACATGTTTTTGTAATTTCAACGATGAGCTTGTACCGTTCTGTTTTTGCATTGAATAATTCTCTTATATTTTGAGCTAACTGTCGGCTTCCCGCAGCAGACTAAATGTCGGTCTGTCAAGGACTTCCGGCTATTTGCCTGCCGACAGACCGAGTTATTTGTGCAGTTGACGTCAAGAGCTTTAATTTGATACCCTATATGACCTGCTTTTCTTTAGGTAATGATTTCTTATCAAATATACCCCTTGGTGCCGGTCTGACAAGGGTGTCCCGCCGCGCAAGGGGCGTCAGACCTTAACATGATTGTAGCGGAAGGCGTTAGCTACAAGGTCATGACCTCAGAAACCTGCTAGATCAAAAGTAAAGAATTCTCAAATATCAAGCTTGTTTATCTTCCGGCTAAATGCGGTCCGACAGACCAAGCGTTTCGTGTATGGTCACCTCAAATACTTGTTCATGTATACGTTTTATGTTGCTATTTTAATGGTAATGGTTTGCGTCGCGGGCTCTTAGACTATGTTTTCTTATACCTACCTATTACTATAAGGAACATTTTATCAAAATTTCTGATTAATGTATAAAAGGAGCTGGTCAAAGCATGGAAAGTTGAAGATTGAATAGCAGCCAGATTAGGAAGATCTCCTGTGTTCATACGGGGCACTGAATGGTTAACTATCACCTGCATAACAATGGGCTTGTGGAGGAGCCCATGTGCAGGTTCTGTGGCGAGATGAAACTACAGAGCATGTGGTTTGTCACTGTGATGCCTTGATCAAAAACAGAGATTACCTCCTTGCCAACAGCTATCTGGAACCAGGACGGGTGAAGCAACGTAGGCTAAAAGGGGTCTTAGAAAAGGCTCCCCTGTAAATAGAATAGACTCAAATAGGTATAGCGATATATAGGAACCCCAAAAAAGGTGTAAAGGCAGTAGATTATTAGACGCTTCTCAACTAAACACAATTTATTGTTAAAGTGACTAACTAACTACAATAAAAATACGTATGTAAAAAATTCAGTTTTTATTTTATACACCATACTTAATTTTCTAAATCTAGCCTCCGCTTAACATACTCCTCAATGACCTCATCGGGTAAATCAACCTTATCTTGACAATGAAACAAGAGAATTTTCGCAACATTTTTCTTATTGGGAAACCCGTGCTTATTTAATTTGCTAAATAAATGTTCTATAATTCTAATGTTCTTTATTAATTTGAGGGATGGCTCCGCTAAGCCCCCGCACCGTTCGTTGTTCGTGCACTCCACAAAATCGTGGTCCCAGCCTCCATTGGCACTTGTCCCCAAATCGGGATACTGCATTTTAAATTTACCTGCCAGCCAACCAGACAGATGAATTAATCGATTTTCTTCACTTTGGTGTGCGAGTATCAAGTGATTGTTAGTGGATGGGGTTGGTGATCGTATCTTCTCTTGTGCTGTGATTTTGGCGCTTCCCTGTTGGGGTTCAGTAGAGGGCGCCAATTCGTTTTCCAATTTATCAGTGGTAGACGAATTCTGCTTAGTAGACATGGGGGGAGGGTCTTGCGTTTCCGGTAACTGAATTCCATTACTTGTTTTTGTATTATCACACTCTGCCAACCAGTTAGATATCTGCATTACTTCGTCCTCTTCTGTTCCACGCGTGGCAGATTTGGTAATTGATGGATTATTAGCAGGAGTTTCCTCACTTGATTCAGGTAATACACCATTACATCGGGGTTGCTCTTTGTTACATGGTGGTTCATTAGTTTTGTCGGATTGCTCTGATAACCTGGTTGTGTCCATTAATTCATCTTCGTCGTCTAACACGCCTTGATTAGCAGTGCAAGGTGTTAACGGAAGTTCTAAATCATCAATTTCATCGAATGATTCTTCTTGCGAGGTCACGCTCGTTTGCTGAAGCACGCTACTAGAAAGATACTCTTCAGTAGTGTCGTTCTGTAAACGATTTAAGCTCATCCGAACAAGACCTGGCGATCTGCCTGAAAAAAGATCTCGTATGTAACAATACCACAAATGATTATTCTATTATAAAAAAATGTTACATTCGTTTTCAAACCTAGGAAAATTTACACATGTACTGCTTCATAGCGAACATGAACGAAAATATGCCTGGAAATAATGGCGATAACTGTTGAAGTACCTAGTTATGTTTACCGCCTTAAGTTAGTTATATTATAAGTGCGTAGTTGGCAATTCTGCAGTCTGTCACAAAATGATGAAAATCATCTTTTCTTTTGTACGTTTCGTTGTAATTTTATTTTCCAAATAAATGTATTATTCAACAACATTGCTTTGCTGCTGCGCTTAACTTGAATAGGTTATGGGCCCAGAGAGTGCCTGTGTGTGTTAAATGTAAGAATACTGTGTGTGTGTGTAAGGTTTCGGTTTCGGTGAAAAATTTCGAGAAGACAATATGGAGTCCGTAACAAATAAGTTGCTAGCGGTCAACTTAAAACCCTTCGACGGTACAGGATTTGCGAATTGGGAATTTCGATTGAAGTTGCTCCTGGAACAAAATGGATTGCTGGAAACGATTGAAACGGAATCTAATGCACAAACCGAGGAACAAACATTTAAAAAGAAAGATGTGAAGGCACGGAACATAATCGTCCAGTGGTTGTCCGATAATGTACTTGAGATTGTCAAGGAAAAGAAAACGGCAAAAGCAATGTTCGACACGCTTAACAAGACATACACTAAAAAGGGTTTGTCTGTTCAGGTGGAATTACAAAAGAAATTGCGGAATATGAGATTTAGAAGTGGATCGTTAACTAACTTTATTAATGAATTTCAAAATACGGTATCAGATTTAAAAAGTAGTGGTGCATCGTTGCAGGAAACAGAACTGATTTCTCAACTTCTATCAGCAATGCCGGATTCGTACCAAAGTGTCACTACAACAATAGATGTAATTTTCACGGAAAAGCCAGACGGAATAACTTTTGATTTAGTTAAAAGCAAGTTGCTGCAAGAAGAAGTAAGGCAGACACAGATGACAGACCAAGGTGAGTCGGCAACGTTTGCTACAACTAGTCGTCGAGGTCAAGGAGGATTCCGAGGTCGTGGAAGAAATCCTACAAATTGGGATAAACCAAATTATAACACGAACCCACAACAAGCAGGAAGTTTCCCCTTTAAATGCCACAATTGTGGGAAGTATGGCCATATGAGGAAACAGTGCCGTTATGCAAATATAGCCAATAACAAGAAAGAACCTCAAGAAAAATGTGAGGACGAACATGTTTCATTTATGGTGGAAGAGATCACTGGTGGGCAATGTGAAAGTGAACGCGACACAAATTGTGAACGGGACACAAATGAGCTACTAAACATTTCAGGTTATGTTTGTGAACATTTTAAACAAATTGATTTCATTATAGACTCAGGTGCTACAAATCATTTGATAAATAAAGCTACTCGACAGTATCTAACAGAACAAAAGCAAGTTAAGTGTGAAATTAATGTTGCCAAGCAAGGTCATACAATATTCGCGAACAAAATTGGAACTTTAAATGTTGAAAGTGACGAGGGACAGCGAATCGAAATTAAAGAAGTATTACAGTGTGACGAATTGCCATATAACTTACTCTCTGTAAAACGAATAGAAAAGGAAGGTCTAAAGGTAACATTTGAAAAAGGGACTGTAAAAGTAAGTAATAGTAAAGGGAAATTAATTTTGCAAGGTTACATTTCCCGTAATCTGTATGTAATATCCGTTAAACTTCCTAATTGCAGTGCAAATGCAGCTTATTTAAGTGCAGACATTAAACATCGTAGAATGGGTCATTCATCTGTGTATCCATCTAAAAGCGTTGAGTGAAGGATCTAGGTAGAGTGGTAATGCCTATATGAAAACCGGTCATCCTTTCCGATCTTTTACTAAGGTAGTCCCTTCTCTATTGCACATCGCGCCTCTGCCCCTCCGAGTCCACGTTTTGCAACACCGACAGCTAACGCCACCGACAATTTCGACGGCGCTTTCCTTCTTTACAATTTACAAGTATTAAGTATTTTCGCCCAGCCGCCCTCTCCAACGAAATCAGTCTTTAGCGTAACTCCAATTGCAACTATCGAAAACCGTTGTAACACACGTAAACAAAATGAGTCATTCTATTTTCATGCAATTGTATACCTGCAAAATATCAGTCCCTTATCATAATTATTGGATCAGATACCTAATTAAGAGCAGTTCTAAAAGCAGCAGGTACGTACGGACGAAATTCAAAAAAGTATACCTACCTAATCACAAAGAAAAGTATCTCATATCATTTATGTTTATGTATTTTGCGATTGTGCGTGTAAAGTAGGTATTGTTTAGAAATTTAAAGAAACTTATCCCATCACTATGTTTATTGCTGATGTAGCAATTTGCATAAACGCAAATATGATTTGCAACACTCATCCTACAATTTTAGGGCACTACCGACTTATTTTAAACCGATAACGCTACTAGGTATAGGTACTCTCTCGCAATTAACGTGACAATTTGAAAAAAAGACAGTACCTACTGAATTTTATAATGATAGGTACCTGTGACTATGTATATTATCATTTATTTTATGTGTTTCCTTTATCATAACCGGGAAGGTCAAAGACAACTTGTTTAATTGGCGAATCTGCTGGTAACTTTATCTAGCTATTCTGCTATCATGATTAAAGGCTTGCTTTTGATGCGGCCGCTTGTTTTATATAGAATATACCTAGGTATAAAATGTGCATTATAATACTTTTAAATAATATGTTTCGGTCACCGTAAACATACTGATTCGATCATCGATCACAAATTAATTTTACAAGGGCCACATGCAGCCTCTGATACGGACCTACCGTAACCGTATATTTCGCCTGTTGCCCTCGCTTTGCTCAACGCTGCTGTGCGCAAATTTAATAAAGCGATAATGTAATTGTAAGGTTAATATTGTGGTAGCGAAAATATGAAAATAAAATAATGCAATCCGGATCTGGATCGCCGACTTGGTTGTTGCCATCGGGATCTGAGATCACTCTTGGCCGCCTATATCTCAAACCCCACGTTCACTATGCTTTTAACATAAGCATTGCCTCTCTACCTAGATCCTTCACTCAACGCTAAAAGTCTGTGCGAGGTGTGTATTAAAGCTAAACAAACAAGGTCATCATTTAAAAGCATTAGTGAAGAGAAGAAAGCAAGGAGGGTCCTTGAAACTGTGTCATCCGATGTTGCCGGTCCAATTGTTCCCGCTACACATGACGGAATGAATTATTATGTGACATTTACAGACCATTACACACACTTCAGTCAAATTTATTTGATGAAGCGGAAAGATGAAGTTTATGATCTTTTTAGGGAATATGTTGCTCTCGTTACCTCTAAATTCGAAACCCAAATATCTAACCTTCGTTGTGATAATCGTGGCGAGTATTGTTCCCAACAATTTAAGAAATTCTGTAAAGAAAAAGGTATTCAGATCCAATATACGGTCCCTAGGAATCCGGAACAAAATGGCGTTAGCGAAAGATTTAATCGTACGGTCCTTAATATGGCACGATCAATGATTTTTGACGCTGGAATGGAGAAGAGTTTTTGGGGTGAGGCTGTGAGATGTGCAACTTACATTTTGAATAGGTTACCGACATCAGCCATTAAGCCAGGTTCAACACCAGCTGATTTATGGTATAATCGAGAAGTATCCCTGGAAAATATTAGAGTTTTTGGTGCAAAGGCTTACGCACATGTCCCTGCGACCCTGAGAAGTAAGCTTGACGTGAGAAGTAATCAAATGGTAATGATTGGATATGTTTCAAATGGGTATCGTTTGTGGAATCCAGTTAACAAGAAGGTAATAACCGCACGAAGCATAATTTTTGACAAAGAAAAGAAAAATGGTTCTGTCGGAATACCAATTGCCGTAATTGAAGAGGATGCCGAGGAGAAAGTGGATGAGATACAGAGCGCTGAGAGTGAAGATGAGTAGAATGAAGCATCAAGTACCTACCGATGAAGCAAGAATTACGAGAAGAAGCACGAGAGAGCGAAGAATTCCTACGAGAATGCACGATTATGATATGGGATTCATGACTGCTTTAGCTGCTGGACATCTACCGAATGAAATTCCTCAATCCTTTGAAGAAGCCGTGCAAGATGAGGGATGGTCAATGGCTATTAAAGAAGAAATTTCGAACCTTGAAAGAAACAAAACCTGGAGTAGCGTAAGGACACCAGTCGAGGAAAATATCATTGAATCAAGATGGGTTTTTACTCGAAAAACAGTAGAAGGAGGAGTAACTAAGAAAGCAAGGCTCGTAGCTAAAGGATTTCAGCAAGAAGACACATATGAAGAAACAATCTATACTCCCGTAGCTAAGATGACATCAGTCCGAACACTATTAGCAATATCTGTAGAGAAAGGGTATGTAGTACATCAAATGGATGTGAAGTGCGCCTTTTTGAATGGCGAGCTAAAACGTCCTGTTTATATGTATCCACCTAAAGGTTTATATAATGTGAAATCTGGTCATGTTTGTAAGTTGAATAGGGCATTATATGGGTTAAGGCAAAGCCCTAAGTGTTGGTACGATCGATTACATAATTTTTTGATTAACCAAAATTTTGTGCGATCGTTAGTAGATCCTTGTGTATATATCAAATCGAATCTGTATCTTTTAGTTTGGGTTGATGATTTACTTTTAATTGCTAATGACCAATATGAATTAGAAAATGTAAAACGTAAACTTACCTTAGAGTTCCATATGAAAGATTTAACAAACAGTAATAAAATTGTATTTTTAGGATTAGAAATTGAATGGATTGATGATACTTTATATATTTCACAAAAATCTTTAATCAAGAAAATTTTATATAACTTTGACATGAATGATTGCAAAATTAGGTCATTACCTGTGCAACCAAAATTAAATTTAATTAGAACTGATAATGATTTGCCTAACGTTCCATATAAAGAATTAGTGGGCTGTTTAATGTATGTTATGCTTGGAACAAGGCCTGATCTTTGTTTTGCAGTTACTTATTTCAGCCAGTTTCAGAATTCTTATGATTTAATGCATTGGAAACATTTAAAAGGCGTGTTAAACTATTTAAAAGGTACTCAAAATTATATTTTAAAATATACTAAAAGCAATAACTCTGAAATTAGTGTAACAGCATATGTAGACTCTGATTTTGCACAAAGTACAAATGATCGAAAGAGCATTAGTGGCTATTTTTTAAAATTAAATAGTAATATTGTGTTTTGGAGAACTATAAAGCCGGCAGTTGTTGCACTGTCGAGCTCAGAAGCTGAATATGTAGCATTGTCTAATTGTATCGCAGAATGTTTATTTCTCAAACAACTTTTGGATGACATTTTTAAATTTCAAATTAAGCCAATTATCGTATACGAGGACAATCAATTGTGTATCAAAATTGCTAATACTCTTGAGACTAAAAGGTCAAAACATATAGACGTGAAACATCATTTCATACGAGAATATGTTCATAATGGAGTAATAAAAATACTGTACATTCCTACTGAGCAACAGTGTGCCGATATTTTGACTAAAGCTTTACCGTTACCTAAATTTCAATATTTTAGATGTAGTTTAGGAGTTATCACTTGATTATTTTTTTGTAGAATTGCAGAATTGAGGGAGGGTGTTAAAGTACCTAGTTATGTTTACCGCCTTAAGTTAGTTATATTATAAGTGAGTAGTTGGCAATTCTGCAGTCTGTCACAAAATGATGAAAATCATCTTTTCTTTTGTACGTTTCGTTGTAATTTTATTTTCCAAATAAATGTATTATTCAACAACATTGCTTTGCTGCTGCGCTTAACTTGAATAATAACAGCGTGAACAATATGAATCTCAATATTATTAAGTGTCATCTGGGTACAAAGCGGCGTCCCAAATTGTTTATGACCTGGAAGCCAAGTGACAATGACTACCAACTGCTACGTCAATAGTCATTTATTTACAAAATAATTACAATACTCCGCAAATTAGATGCGCAGTTTTTGAAAATTGGTAACTAACCTAACCTATTATACTGCATTCATTATAAGAAGGTAGTAGATGGCGCTGTGTTCGAAGATAAGCACACACAGGAAAAATATAAAATGGCACCAAATTATTGTAAAGTAGAAATAGACCGGGGGATAATGACAGATTTTCGGACGTGATTTCTTACAGTATGCCTCTTGGAGTATATTCAGGTGTGGATATTCTAACGTTAATAACACAACTATGAATGAATCACTCCGTGATCTTCATATATAAAAGTTAATTAATTAATTAAGTAATGAAGAACACGGAGTGATTCATTCATAGTTGTGTTACTAACGTTAGAATATCCACACCTGAATATACTCCAAGAGGCATACTGTAAGAAATCACGTCCGAAAATCTGTCATTATCCCCCGGTCTAAAATGATCAGCACTGCGAACAGAAATACATACAGTAAAACCATCGTAACCTTAGAAAATTTGCGCATGCATGTTCGGATTCGTCCGCACTTGATCGGGTTTCTTACCAGGTTCGGCTGTAATGTACATTCGGAACAGAAAACTACAACCAGAACAGAAGTAGTATTTGCACATTACTCACGGTATTAATGTCAATATAATTAAGAAAGTTATCGATTATTTATTACTAGTTAATAACACATTACTCAATTCTACAATAGTCGTTTAACTTAACATTAGACTGAGCAATAATCAATAGCGCACTGAGCCTAAAAACGAACTACTTCTTACTGGGAGTGTACAATCCCTTCCCATGCCTTCTATTAGCTGCACAAAGCATACTTTTTCTAAGGTTACAGTGGTTTTACTGTAATTCAAACGAGTTTGACAGTCTAGTTGCCAACAGAAACTACCAGCTTACAAAATTTAAAAAATTTGGCGATATACTGACTCCTGTTGTGCCCAATCACAGTAAAGATCAAAGCTTCCCTATGCTTTCTGAGTGGGGAAAGAATGATCAAGAGCTTACCGATTGAAAACTTACCTAGCATCACTATCTTTAATCTGTACATCACATGCATCGGAGAAGGATCGTACGCATTTACCCCTTCCCAGCTCCTTATCTCATCAAACAGCCTTTCCAACGAAAGTCGATTCAATTTTGAAGTTAGAATAAATCCAATGTTATAATTGGTTTTCATCGTCTGGTAGAACAATTGAAGCGACTTTATAGATATTAATATCAGTCTTTGAAATGACAGCAGATTTGGTTTACCGATGCATCGCATCGAACGAATCATCTTATACATTTCCTCCAATTTCCTCAACTGTTCATTCGATTGAGTATAGGCCGTCGATTGCGTGCCGAGATTGGAATTCATTATGTCGTACCAAGCGACGACAATTTCAATCAGATTGGCCAGCGCAGTCGATTCTTCAGTTTCGTAACGCCTTAGCACCTTTGCGGTCGTAAGTGAGAATAATTGCGTGGCGAAATGTAAGCTTAACTGTTCAGAGTCGCTCTTTACACGCAAATAATCTTTTGTCCACTTCGACAAGTCGTTCGTTACCAGTAAATTTTCAAGAGGAATTTTACCAACAAGTTCGCCTCTCGGCAGCAGGAAACCTGCAAAATAGTAGATATATTTAGTTGTAAGGATGGTAAGTGAAGTGTAACTAGGTAAAGGACAAGTTTTGCCCAATACCTATAAGAGAGCATGCCACCAGGTCTTGCTTACAGTATTTTTTGCATGATCGAGTACAAAATTGTCAGAAACAAACGGTAAATAGCTGCTTTCTTGAAGCCTATGTGCTGAGATGTTAAAGTTAACGCTGCATTTGCATTTGATAAAGTAAAAAAAAATGTGGAGCAATTCTTCATGTAACTAAGATTCTGCACAATGTGCAAACTTATGAAAAAAAAAAAGAAATTAGAATTCCTATCCTGCTCTCAATCGATGCAAAGTAATAAAGAAAAATATATATTCACTCTGAAGGTGATGTTATTAGACTTAAAAATTCTCACAAATTACAGTTTTTTATGCAGATTGAGAGCAGGCGCGGATTTAAAGGGGGGGCGCAGGGGGCGTCTGATGTTATTTGAGCAGATACAAAAAAAAACACTTTCTCATTGTCACTTATTGAGTTTTACAAGAGACATTGAGACGTTTCATTTCGGAGAAATCATTATCAACTTTATTTTTTTATATGCCCCATAAAAAAGCAGATACTATATTGAGTAGCATTTTTTCCTACGAATAAAATGATGTACGGCACACAAAAGAAAACAAATGTTGGAAACTGTTGGTTTCAGCAAGATGGTGTACCTGCGCACAATGCCCTAATCGTATAAAAATACCTATATTGGACAAATTTGCGCCGATAAAAAGAAAACTCGCAACTTTGCCATTTAGCCTTTTTCTGGTTTGATCTTTTCTTAGTTTATAAAGATTTAGTTATTTGTTCAATATATTATGTATTATGCCAAAAATGTTCTATTTTTAAACGTATAATAAATGTTTTTTTTTAATATATTCACTTTAAAAATTGTATGGGCCCCTCCCTAGACCAAATCCTAAATCCGACATGGATTGAGAGCAACCTGTGTAACACGTGACCGCATGCCGTTTGGTTTTGATTTTGTTACACATAGGAAAATGTACACATATACCGCTTTATAGCGAACATTAACAAAAGTATGTCGGGCGATACCAAGTAATAACAAGAACTGTATTGGCGAAATCGAGCGCGGTTTAAAAGGTACGCTGCTAGTCGCGGTCTTTGCGTTCAGAAAATAGGTGTCGTTTCAGAACTTCTAACGGGCGAGACTCAAATATCGAGAGAAGTGGAAGAGCGGGCATTCTAAGCCAATTTTCGCGAGCGATCGCGAGTTATGTTGAAATTGAATTCTTAGTGAAGTGTAAGTCCGTACCAAATTGCGGAGCAACGAAGTATAAATATCGACGTGTAAAAAAATTTATTCGTGGTCGACATTTTTTTCTGCGTTATGAGAAATATCTTCGTGTATGTGTGAAGATTCATGGTGCAATTTCAAGAGCCAGAACGTGCATTTATGAAGTGAAATCTATCCTAATTGTAGTAAAGAATTAGCAGCTTAACTTGGGGTAAAAACATATTAGGTAGCAAGAACTAAATTTCGAGTACGTCGGGGAAAAACATTTAAACAAAACCTGCAATTTTATGTGTGCGAATAAACGAAGAATAAATTTTTTAGCAATCTGATTCGTACCACGGCCTTTTCATTTAGGGGTGGGTAAAATATACGCGAAGGAACAGTTTCAAATCGAGGAACCACTTTTCAATTAAAAAACGGGATTAAATAAGCTGACAAACTCATAGTGATAAACAAAGCAGTTTTTTTCGGATCGCTAACCGTAACGTCTGGTTAAAAGCAATTCCTTAAAATTGAGTGACGTCTTTGGACAGCGCTGTGTGCGATCTCTGTCCGACGTGCTCTAATCCTTCACTCCACAGTGGTAGGTTTCCGACAGCCCAATCCCTTGTGTTTTTGCTTTCCAACAGTATGATACTGTTCGTGCTCCTTTGTTAGCGCGCATTGCCCCTTGCTCCGCTTACCCCAGTCCATCCTAGTTCGAATACCAGACGTTAATGCTCTATGTGTGATGTTTACGTCTTAAATGTCATTTGAGAAACCAGAGCCAACACTCTTTTTGCAAATTAAAGTAACTTTAAGGACGTAATATGTAATGTAGATGCGTGTTCCGTCCGTTCATCTGTAGGTTTAGGACCTCACCAACGAGAACTCTTAAAAATATCATGCCGAATTTTTCTCCTCTGTACCACAAATTCTTTTCTCATTATCTTCCTATGCATTGCCTACATTTCAGTTCTTTGCAACTGCAGAACTTTGAAATTAAGTTTCAAGGATAACAAGCAAACATCGTCAATATGGGACACGTAGTAGGTATTTATGTTTACGGTTATGTAACTGATTAGAATAATCTCCTATTACAATAATAACGACAAAACACTTGAGGCAAAACTAGTTATCTGTACTTTTATCATTTGTTTTCCACTTCAGCACAATTGAACGCAGTTGGTCTGTTACAGTGACTCTAAAGCATTGAACTAAATACTTGTAACTGAAATGGCATCGCCCGTAAACTAATGTTGCAAGTGTGCCATGACGAGAGAGATGGGTACAGGTAGGTAGGTAGGTATCGTGTTTCTCTCACATGGCGTGAGGATACCTACCACAGCCTACGTTAGGCAGCACGCGATTTAACAATGAGCCCAGTTTCAGAGTATACAGTTCAATGCTCTGTAGTCTATAGAGACAGTGTGGTCATACTGTGGTGTTATTTTCTATTGATAGTTGGGAGATCCGCCATGTTTTCGCCAAATAGGTACACCTAATGGGTAAAAATTAACCTGAAAACCCAGGTGATGAATTTATCTTGCTGGACACAATCGTGACCATAGCAAAATCTTCTAATACAGTTAAACCAATCAGCTCAATTATAAAATGGAAAAAAAAACATGGCCGACCTGGAGCATTACACTGTCTTTATCTCAGAGTTTTTATTTTTACCATTAAGAAACCACGAAAAGTAAATGGGAAAAGTGCAGTGAAGCATATGGTAACACAAGTAAATTTTGGGGTTAGGAAAAATGCTTCTGCTATAAAACTATCCCCATTATCCCCATCCTACGAATTGTGAGGCCGTGATTCTATCATTGGTGAATCCAGAAGTTAAGGCGATTGTAAGCCTTCCACATACTTAATTCCAGAGATGCACACACACACACACACACACCACCAAAGAACAAATGAATAGCAGGTTATGTGCCTCTGCGACTTTGGGTTTCGTTTAATGGACATTTTCAGAAATCAAATTTGATTTTCAAGTCCCAAATTTTATTTTGTCGGTAATTTTCTAAAGAGAGAGAATGTTTAGGTAAACCCGTGAAGACAACATCGTTTACCAGAAAAAAGAATCCGATTAGAGTGGAAGCAGTTTTTCCTCTCAATTTGGAACAATAAAGTCAAGTGCATTACCTTGAAATTGATATTTTCATTTGTTTTTTAATATTGTACACGTTTTGAAGTGTGTTTTGTTACTACGAGAAGAGCTGACTGATAAAAAGATTAGATTCGGCGAAACATGATATCGTTTTAGATGTAGAAAATACTGACTAAGATATGTAATAAGAGGAACTACGATTTACTGCAACTCAAAGAGTATAAAGTATAAACTCATTGGGTTTGCTTTACGCCGGCTACAGGCTATGCATGAATTCGCGATTGGTGAAGCGCACGATTCGCGGGTAGTTCAGGGAATCAATTCGTAAGCAGCATGATGCACAGTAATTTGGTCCTCAGAGCGGTAAATTAACGGATAATAAAGGCTGCGCATTAACGCCAACCGTCAATTGGCCAAAGTTTGGGCTGTGTTCATAGTTAGTTCGTTTATTCGCTGAAATACTATACAGTGATATTCATGTAGAAGTAGACATAGGGATTTCCTATGTCTACTTTCAAACGACAAAAAGTCTTCTGCAGGACGCCTAATTTTATGCAACCGAAATAACTTCTTGAAACAAATAAAGATTTGGCTGTCATATTAATTATTATTTTGAATATTGTTGCTTTACCTTCTCAGAAAATAAATCTCTTAAGCTCCTTTAACTGTTATCGGCACTATACCAATTGGAAATATCAACTTTTTCTTTAGTTGAATACATCGCACACAAACCGAAATTAGAATAGGGAAGTCAAAGCGATAATATTCAAATTAATTAATATGACAGCCAGATCCACATTTGTTGTAGGTACTTAGTTACTTTGGTTGTATAAAATTAGTCGTCTTTCAGGAGACTTTGGCTCGTATGAATAAAAATAAGCAAATGCTTATACTTGCAAAATTCAAAGTAAATACTCGTAAGTGCCCCTTTATACTGGTTTGTTTAGCAGCGCTGCACTGCGTCCTGTCCATCTGCTTAGCAGCGCTGTTAAGTCGCCCAGTGTGAAGGAGCACTTACGAGTATTTACTTTGAATTTTGCAAGTATAATAGTGCAGCGGAGAGCCGCGAAATCGTTCAAAAAATTTTTTCGGAGTAGAAAGAATTGGGGCCCACATCATTTTGTTCAGAAATGTTTGAACCTTCAGAATCTCGCTTTACGACATTTTCCCGTGGTCCTGACAAAAGTTATAGGCCGCTAAAGTTGAAATTTACTCATTTTCGCGCGCGCGACTAGACCACCGAAAGTATTTATTTTCTCAGCAACTAAGCGATATACATCAATCATTCCTTTTGTAAAATGAAAGTACATTTATAGCAGAATCTAAAGCATTCAATTTACCTACCTTGTTATGGACAGTTTTTAGAAAAATGACCGTCAACTTCCAAAATTCGTGTAGCAGATGAAAAGTGCGCACTTTGAACTCTCATAACTTTTTATTTCACGATATCGATTTCCAATATTTATAGCTCATTCGATGCTCCAAAGCATTGTGATTATTTTATTTTCTATAACATTACCGTGAATTTTTCATAATAAAAAAGTTACGGTCATTTAAGTAAAAACCTACCGATCTCGCCGAGTCGGTAATCGCGAGTGAGACGGAGAGGGAAGGATAGTCA